TCCAAGGGCTCGTAAAAGATAAAATATTGTAATCTGAAATGGCTACAAGACAATGGCTGGTTTTACTTTCACAGCAGTAGAGAAAATGATAATAGAGACATAGCATGTGACGCTCCATTATCATCGAAATATTTCCACAAGTCTGAATAGAGTCAGCTCTTGTTTAATCTTGTATATATCACTTGATTTTATATCTAAGTAGGTGATTAGAAGAGAATCAAAATGATTAGTGGTTATTTACTTTTAAAATAAAACAATAATCTCCCACATTATTCCTATTTTGTCCTGATTTTTTTTCCGACACATCATTGATCATTCATTATTCTGGCTAGACAAGATTGCTTTTACCAGACAAGGTTGCTTAGACAAGATTGCTTTTACCAGACAAGGTTGCTTAGACAAGATTGCTTTTACTGTCTTCCTTGGTTGGCTCGTTTTTTCTGGTATATGTATTACTTCTTATGTTTCAATATGATATATATTTTAGATCTTTTTCACATATATTAAAAATATATATAATAAATGTATAATTTTTTTGTGGTTATCCTTTTTCCATAAATATAAACCAATAAGAATTCAAGAAGTACAATTAAGTTTTTTTTTTAGATTTGCAATAATCATTATTAGTTGACAAAATAAAATAAAATAAAATTTCTTTTTGAAACAATAGTACTTTTTGAAACAATATTTTAATAGACTAAGATGAAAATATATTTAGATAATCATAAATGATATGCGTTGTCATGGTTATCTCCTATTATTACGGTTCCTACCTTATGTATAAGTATTGATGTATTAACCTTAAAATGAATAACAAGAACAAAGTTCTATATTAGCTTGTTATGGTATCAGAGCCAAACAACTAATTTTCCGACAAAACTAATAGACTTACGAACTACCATAACTTATCATTAAGGTGAGATATTGATCTTCTTCAATTAACATGGAGTCAGCAACATCAGAAACCGTTAATCGAATATCTGTTGGAGGAGATAAGAGTTCACTTGTCTCTCCTTATTATCTACATTCATCAGATAATATATGATAAGTATAGACACCCATTCTTTTCAATGGAGCGAACTATGAGAGATGGGAAAAACTCATGCTCAACTCGTTAAGAATAAAACAAAAAATAGGTTTTGTTGATGGAACTCTTAAAAGACATGTCAACAAACCAAAAGATGAAGAGAAGTGGGACATGGTGAATGCCATAATCATTGGTTGGATCTACAACAGTGTCAAATCAAAGTTGTGTCTGTCAATATCACTCGTTGACAGTGCAAAGGTAATGAGGGGAAGTCATCAGAGGAGATTTTCTATAAGTGATGATACAAGAATTCATCAACTCCATGCTGATATTTCCTCTTGCAAACATAATGGAGATACGATAGAAATTTTCTTTGGGAGACTGAAAGTTATGTGGGATGACCTAGCGGATTTTTATAAGGGTTTTTCATGCTGCTGTGGATATCCAGAATGTGAAGCAAGGATGAAGTATGAGATAAGAAAATATACAAGTGCATCAATTCCTAATTGGATTGGATAACTCACGGTTTGATACAACACGCTCAAACCTGTTGAGTAAACAAGCTGAACTCAACCTTGAGTTGGTTTACTCGCAAATAGTTCAAGAATAGAGACACTTGAATGTTATGTGACATGAAGAAAGAACACCAGCAATAGGTTTATCTGCAGTAACACAACCTTCCTCTCAGCAACCAACTCGACAGATAATGAGTGCACAAGCCGCAGCAGTTCGTTTTGCAAGAAACAACTCTGTTTGCTCTCACTATTGAAAGCAAGGACATGAAGAAAATTAATGCTTTCAACTCATTGGCTACCCAGAATAGTGGGGTGAAAAGAATGCAACACATGCAGCAGGCCGAGGGATGGATAAAGGAGGAAGAGGAAGAGGAAGAGGATCTGAATCACAAGGTGGCAGAGGACGTGGTCGTGGAACTGGATTTCGAGCATACAACACTCAGGCTGATACGCATGGAGCACCTGAATCTCAAACTCAAGGAATTCCAAACTTCACGCAGGAACAATGGACAACTTTGACTTAGTTTGTGAATTCACAAAAATCTTCCAAAAATGACAAGCTTGGTAAGAAAGACAAAATAATATTTTTTTTTTTTGGAAAATATAGTAGATATTATATCATCATTGACTCATGGGCCTCTCACCATATAACTGGAGAGATCAATCTTCTGAGTGATGTTGTCACAATCTCACCAGTATCGATTACAATGCCAAACAACAATGTTACTTGGGCCACAAAACGAGGAACGCTGAGTCTTTGTGGTCATCTCATACTGAGACATGTCTTATATGCTCCACACCTCTCTGCAACACTCATATCTCGGCTACTTCAAATATTGCTGGGTTTTTCCTCTTTACTAAAACGTTTTGTCTAATACAAGACCTCGCCTTGAAGACTTTGATTGGTGCAGGTGATGAGCATAATGGAGTTTTTAAATATATGGGTACCGTTTATGTTCAAGCAGATCATGTGGAAGCATTCTAGACACGAGATTTGTGGCACGCACGCATGGGTCATACATCATCTGCTGTTTTTTCTACTTTATCTTCAGTTGATGGTTTTACTAAGAATATTGGTGTTTTAGAAAGCTATTGTGGTATTTGTCACCAAGCTAAACAAACTTGAGATGTCTTTCCACTTAGCATTAATAATGTTGATGACTGTTTTTTCTTGATACACTGCAACTTATGGGACTATACCACGAACCATCAACATCTAGAGCACGTTATTTTCTAACTATAGTGGATGATTTCTCTAGAGCCGTATGGACTATACTGCTGTTAGAAAAGAAGGATGAACCACAAGCCCTTAAAACATTTTGTGCCTATGTTTATCGCAAAATTTTATAGGAAAATCAAGATGGTTTGCAGTGATAATGGTATGAGTTTATATGTCTTCAGGATTACTTTCCGTCTCAAGGTATTCTGCATCACACCTCATGTGAAGAGACACCACAGCAGAATAGACGAATGGAGAGAAAACATCGTCAAATTCTCAATCTTGCTAGAGCACTTCTCTTCTAAGGACACGTTCCAAAACGTTTTTGCGGAGAAAGTATAATGACTGCGACTTATCTGATTAACAGAACCCCATCACGGCTGTTACAAAATAAGACACCTTATGAGATGCTTCATGGTCAAACGCCTTCTTATGACAATCTTCGTGTATTTGGTACACTCTGTTATGCACTAAGAATATCTCGGAGACAAAACAAGTTTGATGAAAGAAGTACTAGATATGTATTTATTGGCTATCCTATGGGAAAGAAAGGATGGACCGTATGTGATCTCGAACCATAACACATATTTGTGTCTCGTGATGTCATTTTTGATGAAGAGATATTTCCTTTTGCTCTTACAAACTCAGTATCAGAGAGTTTAGACTATGTATCTACCTCTACACCTCATCCAGCAACGTATGATGATGATTTTGATCCACTCTCTACACATGCAATATTGTAGACAGGGGGAATGTTGAATTCTGAACAAAACAGTAACATCGTACCACTTGCTAATACTGAAGACAATCAAGTTACAGAGACAACATTAACCCTCATTCTTGATGACAAAAACAAATGGGGAGATAGTAATGAAGCTGAAACTACTACGACAGAGCAACCAGAGTCTGAAACATTAGGCAGAAGACACATGACTAAGAAAACATCGGTGCTCTTAGGTCCATATGTTACTTATACAGCTCACGCCAAAGAAAACCCCACAAATGCTCTTCACTCACTAAATACACCATCATCGTCTTCAGGTAAGTATACTTATCCTTTTGGATATAGTTATGTCTCTTTTCAACAACTTGCTCCAAATATTCAGGCGTTTCTTCTAAAAGTTGAATCCCATATTGAACCAGCCTCGTTTAAAGAAGCTATGAAAGACGAAAAATAGAGAAATGTAGCAACTGGTGAAGTGGATGCTCTGGAAATTAGTGGTACGTGGATACTAACTGAACTATCTCCGGGAAAACAAGCCATTGGGTGTAACTGGATTTAATTTAAAATAAAGTTCAACGTGGATGGAACGGTTGAACGATATAAGGCACACTTGATAACCTGCAGAAACAAACAAGGAGGAGATTGACTATAATGAGACCTTTGCACCGGTTGTCAAGATGAATACAATGCAATTTTACTTGAAATCTCTGCTGCTAAAAATTGGGAATTCCACCGAATGGATGTGCATAATGTATTTCTCTATGGTGAACTTGAAGAAAAGGTTTATATGAAATTACTCTTGGTTTCGTCTCCTCTAAACCAAATCAAGTGTGTAAGTTGAATAAAACTCTCAAAGTCTTAAGCAATCTCGTAGATGCTAGTTCCCAAGATTAACTAAAGCTCTACTCTCTCTTTACTCTTCACCGGAAAAATACTACACTATTTGTGCTAGAAACACATACATTTTATAGCTCAATTTATTTACGTGTTTTTAATGATATGTTTTTTGTCATCGTTTTTAATTATATGTTACATTAGATTAATTAATAGTTATTCAATTATAAAGTACATTAAATTAATTAATAGATGTTTTTAGTTATATGTTCAACTTATATTTTATAGTTCTTTCACAAGCTACGCTAACAACCGCCTATCAAGGAATTTTCATGTCGATTATTAATCACGTGGGCTTGTAATATCCCATTTTCGATCTTTTATTAAAGAAAGACAAAGGTTCCATTCTTCACCCTTATTTTACAGAGCCTCTCTCATTCTTTTATAGACCAGAAACTATTGTTTAAGTATTATCCATCTGACCCAGAACATTTACAATGTTGATTTTAGACTACTTTCCAAATTAGTTTAAGGCCGCACACCATATTGACCCCATAATCAGTTCTTGTTCTACACTTTCTGTTACTGCATCTAGATATACTGTAATTTTCTTCATTCCTATTTGCAATCCCGAGAGTTTTGTAGATTCAAAAATCCCTTCCATTGATCTAACACTTTTATCGGGGAGTACCATTAAGTCATAATGCTCAAATGGGTAATTTCCATGTTCTTGAACTTGCATATCTATCCAACAACTTCGACAGTCAAATACTATCCGTGTTGGAAGTGTTGGGTGCAGGGTATTTTCATCAAAAAACATTATTCTCAAAATCAGAATTTCAGAGAACCCACAAAAACTGGAACCAAGATTTGAGTAAAGTACAAAAAGATTGGACAACTGGAACATAAGAGATACGAAAAAAAGTAAGCATTGAAGCTAACAAAGATCCACCCCAAGAGAAATGAACTACTACTCACTCTCCTTGTTGCAATAATACCTTACTACGGTACTCCCCCAAAGCCCATATAGGGAAAATGTTTCGGTAAGCAGCGTAAGTTATCATGCAGTTCCTATTGAAGACTCCCATTATTTCCTGAGAGAAAGAGAGCCAAGAGATTAATAACGAACAGAGACTCGTTAAAAGACCAATTGTGTTAATTTAACTCGTTACCTGTTGTGGGAAATCACCACTCTCCATTTGAGCATTAATCAAGTATCTGGCAGCCCGATGTAGGGGTTTTTGATCTACCTCCGCCTAAGCACACACAAGAAAAAGAGAGAGATATAAGTGTTAACGGAAAGGGATTAACATTAATGGATAAACTGAAGTTTAAAGTTGGTTAAGAAATTCACTCACTTGCCCAGCACCAATGAGTGATAGCAAAGCCCATGCTGTATTCACGACATGAGACCGCTTGCCTTCAAGGTTTGAATATACCTATTCGTAAGAAAAAAAAAAAAAAAAGAGGAACGATTCATCAAGTAGGTAGCAGTAAGTAAAAGTCTAATGAACATACAAAGTGATTACTAACTTTGTCTTGGCATGAAAGATAGCTTTCTCCCCATCCGCCCGAAGGAAGTTGTTTCGACAACAGAAATTCACAAGCTTTCGCAACGGTTGGAGAGTTTTTCAATGTCTTTCCAGCAGCTTCAAGCCCCTTCACTCCAAACCATGTACCGTATGTGAAGCAAACAGCCCATGATCCATACCTAGAGATATATCACAGGTTCCAAGACATAAACCTACTAGAAGATACACCAATAATACAATAACAAAGAAGGAAGTTTTTATCATGACTAGAGACAAACCATGAGCCATCTGATGCTTGAATAGATTCAATGAACTTAACCGCCTTCTCAATGCACTCATCTACATCCTTCTTCCGATGACCAGGATAAAGCTTTCGGAATGCTACCAACGCTTGGATAGCAGCTGACGTACACTCCACGTAACTACAGAACCATTCTAGCGAATCAAGCAAACTTCCCAAAGCATTAAGTATCAATTAAATGGAAGATGCTAGCGCCTTACGGGTAGTCAATAACAATATCGCCAAAGGTTTCTGCTGGATTGATTAGCTGCCAACAGATATAAGCAAACTTTCCACTTAAAAACTCAAGCAAAGGGGTATCAGGTACATATGTTTTTGTGAGAGCTTGGCCACGTAGATACAAAAAGTATAAGCTTGAGAACATTACTGATCTACATCTGGGTACACAGACTTTACCTCCAACCAAGGGTATGACCTTGTGAGCTCATATGTTGCGAGGCCTCCATCTGCATTCTGAAATCAGAAATTAGTTGCTAATCAGACAAGGAAACTGTTTTGCTTTGCGGAAAGGATACCTATGGGTTATCAAACAAACTACAGCTACAATAAGTAACTATTGATACAAGGATTGGAAACAAAATTTAACCTGTAATGAAATGATAACATTAACAGCATCATATAATCGTTTCGTATCTACTGGTTCACCAACAATCTCCTTAGGAACTTTGGATAGTAAAAGAGCAGCCTGAAGAGAGAGAGAGAGAAAAAACAAACCGATTAACACCAGAAAAGAAATCGTGAAAAGGTAGTAACTAAATCTTTCACATTTTTATTACTTTAAGTCCCTCTGCGGTGCAATCGGAGATTGGCCAACCGTGATCTGCAGTTGAGAAAGGCCAAGCCCCTTTAGAAATGTGTCGATACCAGTAACTCAGATCTCCTGGGCAGTCCTCTTGCACCTATCCCATGAGAAGAAACAAGCATGAGAGGGAAAATAACATCAAATAGCATATCTTCTTAGATGCCTATCGCAAACCTGAGAATTCTTGACATATGAATGTGCTTTTTCCAAAACGGGCCCATATTCTTCGACCAAGTTGGTTGCCAGAACAGCTTGAACAGCAAAACTCGTATCCCATAGCTGGCTTCCGTTATAACCCTGTCAATAGCGGCTGCATTAGAGTATGGATGACAGCTACAATGTTTATAACTAAAACAGTAAGTTGGGGTTTTGGTTGACAGGAAATAAAGAAACATCGAGATGTAGATGCTCTCAAGAGTGTTAATCACATACTATAGTAAAATTCCTAACGTTACATAAATTAGCATAGTAATGTGATTCTGATTACTGTTAGATTTAAAGGTTATATTTGTATACTATTGCGTAAATGATTCAAGCAGTGTGATATTGATACTGATTCGGCAGTCAGTCACCTTCGTTCATGTGACGAACCTATCATAGATTGATAATCATGTATACAAGTATTTGGTACCTGCATCTTCATCCCATCTTCAGCTAACCAGAGATAGTCATTGATTCTTGGTAGGTGCAACTTAAAAGCCTCTGAGTTTGGGTCCTCTACCCAACAACAAAGCATATTTAATACCTGTTATAAAAGAACAAGACAAAGATGATGAAAGTAAGGCTTTAAAAACAGAACAGAGCATGAGGTTTGGAATATCCCCAAACTGAGCTTTTAGATGAAAACAAATAACAAGGACAATGAAAAGATGATATCGGTTGTGAAATTTGGATTTGCATACCTTATTCACTGGTCCAATGCAGATGTACCTTGTGTTCTCATCTTCGTAATGAATATGTTCTAAAGTGGTTCTGAGAGCCTTTTCTCTCAAATTTGCACCCGGCCATCGAGTTAAAACAGGCTCAACGATCTTGTGAAGTGATGCCCAAAGAATATCTTGCACAAGTGGGTGTGGGTAGTATAAATCCTCCTTCAATATAAAAGCAACTATCAGTACTGCATATTCTGTATTTTATAAATAATCATTTAGTTGTGTTATCATCCAGCCAGCCAAGGATCACATTATAAAATAAAGATCCTCAGATCTTTACAGAAAGCAAGTAACTTCAATGAAAGGATTAGTTACACAATTCACCATCAATTCGACTAACCTTTGCACAAAGGTTGCGTGCTTCATTCCAGTCGACTTCATGATATGGTACAGTGAAAAGCTCCTTTCTCAGCGATAAAACAGTGGACGTTATGGGACCCACGAACCGTTTACCGTACAAATACGACATTGGCAAGTAGACCATCCGACAATGACACCACATCCTTCCTGGAGCACGAAAATTAATATTATGCTTTTGCTCTACTGTGCCCTATATCTAAATAAGACTTACAAAACAAGCTGTATTAAAAAAAAAAAAAAAACTTATCTATCTTTATCAATGCACACACAGTTCAAACATTTTATAACTGTGTGCTTTATTAAACAAGCGTGCAAAGCAGAATAGATTGCAATCTATGATCAGATGAACAAATGCTTCCCAGATTTACTTTAACTGAGTTGTCCATGATTAATATCACATAGAGTCTTGGATGACGCAATGCTACTAGAGAACATTTCCAAGCATAGTAAATAATTATATACAAAGTCCAATTGTTAATAGCTAACACCTAAGGAACAAGAAAGGAGATAAACCAGATATGGGCATAGTTACAGCATTTTGGTTTTGCTGTGCTCCATATTATAGAAACAGCCATTGAACAAAGAACTGATAATGCGAGGCACTTAATTTATAAACTGGTAAAAGAAAGAAATCAAACAATATCCAATTTGCGAGAGTATAGAGCAACCTGGATGGATTGGCAGAAAATACGGAAGAAGCCATATCTCAGGTGGCAGTGGGTTATTTCCAGACCATTCAAAAGCTCCAAGTACCTTTACTCACAAATCCAAGCAAAAAGATGAATCAAGTAACAGAAAATATTTCTATAATTTAACATACAATAGAAGGACAGATAGAGGTCAGTACAGATAGCCACATTTTCCCCCAAGATGTGATATTGGTAGCACCACCATGATTAAGTATCCAGTCCCTCCCTTTCTCCATCGCTCCGTCTCCGTCGTTAGGTCCTTCTCCAAGCAACCTCAAAGTAACATAGTTCAAGACAGACCCAAACATGGTGCTGGGGCCCTCAATATGTAGACCCCAACCTCCGTCCTCATTCTGAAACCATATCCCCCAAATTGATTTAAAAATCAGAAAAGTAGAAGAATAAACTCTTTCAAACATAAAGATGTGAACTACACATCTATTTCTAGTTGACATTTAATAACATATAGGAAGGCATTAGAAGAAAACATAAGTGTTTGCCTGGTGATTATGGAGATAACGGCGCATTTCTGCTTTATGTTGTTCTGACAATACTGTATTCAGGGCTCCAGTAATTGATAGTGTAATTATCTGGAACAATATAAGCAGAATGAGTTTTTGTCATAGAAGAAATCTCTGAGACACAAATTAAAAAAAAAAGGGAACAAACCAGTCCTGGTAGAAGAAACATAGGACCACCATAATCTCCTGCCCAGTGCCCGTCACTCGCCTGTATAGTTGAATAAAAATCTACACCCCTCTTCAAAGTGATTTCCACATCCTTCTCTGTAACATCATCACCATCTCTGACATTGACTTTTGGTAAAACTGGCCTGCTCAGGTTTTCTCTTGAGAACTACACATCAAATAATGTTAATGCTTTTAGATTGAAAAACAATAATCAAAATCAGTCTAAGAATTCAAAAAATCGGCCTAACCGCCTAACTACCGCCTAGGGATTTGTAGAACATTGCACATTCCTAAGTAACACTGAGAAGTTACTAAAGATTCATATACTGGCCAACGGAAAGTCAACGAAATACCTGGAGGCGCATGAGCAGATCAGAGCTGTGTTTCTTCACGAATCGGTTCTCTGCAAAGGACTTTCTCGCTTCATCGATGGCGGCGAGATCCTCGGGGGTCCCGAGGCTCGGATCGAACTCCCAAAACTGCCTTCCGACGTGATTATTGGTGGTTCGAAGCCATGGACTGCCTCCCTCGGCGATCTTCAGTTTCCACATTTTCGCTGAGAGGAGGAGGAAGAGGAGAAGGGAGTGGATGAAACCGAGGGGTTGAACAAGAGATGGACAGATGTAGTAGTTAATTAGCTTTTTGAAATCATGTGATATACTCTACACACAGTTCCGATAGTGAAGGCTGTGGACCCTTCGCTCAACCAAATATTTTTAATTTCTTGCAGTTATCTGTCACTCGACAAAACTCATTTCGGGAATATTCGATGATTTCGTTAAAAAAAATGTTTTTTTTTATTAAAGGGTAATTCTCCCTATAATAGGATCATTTCACCAATTTAGTCAATAAAGAGAAAAATGACGAAGAAGTTTTGATAAAAAAATCCTTCTAACCTTACTTTTATAAATATTTATTAAATATACATAAATATTTAAAATATAAGACTAATTTTTTATCATTATTTTATCATTATACATTTTGAATTTGAACTTATTATTAGAGATGCGTTCATTTTTTGTGTACCCGCCCCATTCAGATTTGTGAGTAACCCTTCGATAATATAAATTTTAATAAATTAATTATTTGTAAATAATAATTAAAAACTATATTTATAATTAAAATTATATTTTTTACTATTTTATATATTTTTACGGTTTTTTTCTTTTTTACAATTTTTTATGGATTGACTGGTACCCATGATTCAAATCCGGCCAACCCGCACCCATCCCACTTAAAACCAACTCAACCTGCACTCGCATGTTATTTTTTTTTTGAATTGACTAACCTGCAGCCGTTCCACAACGGATCAAGCAAGGTGGTAACCACAGAAAAATAATTAAATTCTCAACTCTAGTTTTTATTATTATTTTTCCAAAATATATATTTTTTTCAAAAAGAGAGTTTGATATCCGAAAATCTTTTAAAACTAGAATTTTTTAAATTTTATTTATGTTTAAAGAATAAAATAATTAAATTTTTGAACATCTTAAACAATTATAATAATATTTTTTAGGTTAATACATATGTTAGTTTGTTTTCCAAAGTATAAAACTAATTTATTATTTGACTCAGAATTAAATTTTTGAAGTTTTAATTTTTATCCGAATTTAGTAATTTTATTTTTAAAATAAATTTTATTTTTAAAATAAACTCTGGAAGTTGTAAAATTTGTTTATTTTAATTTTAGAAATCTTTAATTTTATTTGAAACTTATTAATATTTTTGATTAAAGTGAATATAATCTGAGTATTAAAATGAGCAGAATTGTAAAAGTAAGTGAATTAAAACGAGCAAAATAATCAGCTTGGGTATTAAACCGGTTAACAAAAAACAATTAAGTATAAAAAAATCTTACACAATTTAATTGGAGGATTTAAGATTGTTTCAGTATAAAGAGGGTGTTAATGGGACTTAGATTTCTATAGAGATTTTAAAAGTTGTGAAATTTGTTAAATTTAAAAAGAATTATAGAAAATTTTGTATATTATGAAAATCTATGAAAATAATGTAATGTAATGATTTTAAGAATTCAAGGAAAATATGTATTATTCTCAAAATCTTGTTTTATGAGTTAAAATGTTAAGAATTCAACTCTTAATAACACTTATTTTAATATACTTGTAGAATCATTAAAATCTGAACTTTTTAAATAACAAATGATTTTGTATAGATTTATAGAATTATCAAACTAGTAACACTAAATTTTAATAAGAATGTGAGAATCTCTAAACTAATAATACTAGACTTGTATGTATAATCTTAAAGATAGTGGACAAGAAGACAAGGGGCACTTTTGGTGCTTGCTAGTTTTGGACATATTTTAGATCAGCATAGATGACAGAAGATCAATCAAGAGAGACATCTATCAAACAACACATGGAGATTGGGCGGGGATCGAATAAAGGAATTATGGAGATAAGGCTAAGACCATCTCCAATGGTTTATACTATATTTTCACTCTAAAATAGAATCGCTCTATAATAGAGTTGAAGTTTACTCCAATGGTACTCTATTTTAGAGTAAAAAATAGAGTGATGAACAAAGAAAAAACAAGTTACTCTATATTTGGAGTAAACCTATTTTTCATTCTATTATAGAGTGAGATATAGAGTACCATTGGAGCATTTTTACTCTGAAATTCTATTTTAGAGTGAAAAAATAGAGTGAAGTTGGAGATTCCCTAAACAACAAGCAACACTAGAGAGAGTTTTTCCCATCCAGTCCTTGATCTTTCAGTGAACAACAACTGGATAATCTAGCATCTTCAATCAAATCATGATAAATCTTGACAGCAAGCAAAGGTGGAAATATTTTAATTTAAAATCTGATATGCTCAAATTTATCCGAAGAACAAGTATGTAATTTCAGAGGTCGGTTTCACTTAGATATCAAATCCACATGGACTGAGATCACATAGCAAACTATTGGATTCAGACTAGATCTAATAGTAGAAAGCAATAAATCACAAGAAAGAAAAAGATCAACCGGGTTGTGAAATGATGGGAAAAGCAATCGAGAAAAATCAAATATGAAATTTAGAACGCTAAGAGTTTTATTACAAATTATTCTAGAACTCAAATCACTACAATCAGTCAATCAGCTCTAACTGCAGAAAATATCACATGTCTAGATCCTAGAAATCCAACTCTCGTTGCGAATTAATAATTTAAACAGTGTTAATTTCAAATTTGATTTTTTCACAAATCCCTAGACTAATTGTCGTTGTGAATAAGTATTTAGCTCAGCAAAATTCAATTCACGTAATCTGTCTCTGGCTCGAGTTATCGCTGCCGCCACTATTGCACCTCCCCTCATCGCCACCTCATCTGCACATCCTTTTGTTGCTGCTGCTCCTCTTGGTTATAAATGTGCCATACCGCTCAGTTCGAGGACGGAATCAGCGGATGTGGTCCGTACTGTGAGGTTATTCACTCGCAAAAACTCCTCAGTCTGAGAGTTTCGTTGCTCTTCAACAATTTCATCGAGGAGCTCTCGTCGAGTCTCCACCCTCTCTTGCGGATGTTTCTCTTCACCTTAGTGACCTTGTGCTATGTCGTCCAGATCTGTTAACTATATAATCTAATCTCTCCTTGATACATTTACATAAGTTAGTTATTTATGTTATTACACAAAGAGATGTAACTCTTGATGTTAAGAGGTGTGTCTCTTAGCCTAATGATTCGATCTCTATATAAAGATCAATCATTTTATGTAACATCAACACAAGAATCTCAATAATAAAAAGCATTTCAGATAAGTTACATCATTTTCATAACCATCTGAAATAAGCCTATAACATTCATCTTATTCTTTCTCTCAAACTCGTTGTGTAACACAAGCGGTTGGAAAAAGATTAACATGATATCAGAGCTCTTCGATTGAGAGGACGAAGAAGAAAGCACTAGTAAGAGAAACACTTGGCGTGGAGAAAAGGAGGGTAGAAGATTATGTCATACGTTACATCAGAAGCACACAAAACGATGAAGAATCAAGTAATCCCCATATTTGATGGAGAGAAGTACGACTTCTAGAGCATCAAAATGACAACCATTCTTAAGCCCAGGAAGTTATGGTATGTGGTTGGAGAAGGCGTAGCAGCCCCACCAGAACAAGTGGAAGACACCCCTGAAACAACAAGGCCAAGATCGCTTAGAGAAGAAGCGATGATGAATGATATATTGGCTTTGCAAATTTTGCAAACTGCTGTATCGGATCAAATCTTATCACGGATTGCAGCAGCATCAACATCCAAAGAGGCGTGGAATGCATTGAAACCAGAGTATGAAGGCTCTCCTCAAGTTCATTTGATTCGGACTTCAAACATTGAGAAGGGAGTATGAGAATCTGAAGATGTATGAGAATGAAGACATTAAGGTCTTCATAGATAAGATAGTTGAATTGGCAAATCAATTAACTTATCATGGTGAACAAAAGTAAGATGTTCAACTCACACAGAAGATACTCATCTCTCTCCCAGTCAAGTTCGATAGCTTAGTCAGCGTGTTGGAACAAACATGCAATTTGACTTCAACAAAGATGAAAAAGTTGATCAAGATTTTGAAGGCTCATGCAGCAAGGCTGGCTGCCAGAGAAGAAAGCACCAGTGAAGGAGCATTCGATGCTCGTGTTAAACACGGAAATTCTGATGCTACATCAAACAACTCAAAGCGCTGAGGAGGCAAGAAGTGGTGTAGTTACTGCAAGAAGAACAACCATACCGAGAGCGAGTGTCTGAAGAAACGGAAGAAGGATGATCCAAAGAAGGATCACAGAAGTAACAAGGAATGTTACAATTGTGGCAAGATGGGCCATTTTGCAAATCAGTGCTTCTCAAAGAAGAAAGAGAAGGCACATGTAAGTTTCGAATAAGACTCGAATGAAGATCACATGTTGGTCAGTGCGAGCTTAGCAGCAACAACAGTGTTGGAGGACGTCTGGTTAGTAGACAGTGGAGCAACTAACCATATGACAAAGGAGGAGAATTACTCCTCAAGGCTTGATAAGAGTATCAAGGTTCCAATAAAGATTGGAAATGGAAGCACGGTCATGACAGCCGGTAAATGAGACATTACCGTCATGACTAAAGGTGGCAAAAGGACCATCAGAAATGTGTTCTTGGTTCCGGGATTGGCGAAAAATTTGTTGAGTGTTCCACAAATTATTTCAAGCGGATACTGGGTGAGTTTCCAAGAGAAGACATGCATCATAGATGGTGCAAAAGGAAGGAGAATAATGAATATCCCAATGACTCACAAGAGCTACAGAATTAGGATGAGTTCGGCTCAGGAAGAAGAAGCCATGAGCGCAAGTGAGCAAAGCAAAATGGAGACATGGCATAAGAGACTTGGTCATGTAAGCGACAAAAGGTTGCAACAAATGCAAGACAAAGACTTGGTAAAGGGATTACCAAAGTTTAAGGTCAGGAAGGGAGCATGTGAGGCGTGTAGACTTGGAAACCAATCACGCAAAAGCTTCCCAAAATAATCTCAAACTAAGACAAGTGAAAAGCTTGAGATTGTACATACAGATGTATGTGGACCGATGCAGCATCAGTCCGTTGATGGAAGCTGATACTTTTTACTATTCTTGGATGATCATACTCACATGTGTTGGGTATACTTCATG